ATAATCGTCAACCTTTTAACACAAAGCTAGCCCTCTAATTGAAGACCAACACCGATACGACCCCAAATGTTCAGGTCCCAAAGGTGGTCTCAAATTTGAGGGAAAATGTATTTTAAAACTTAAATTTTGTTTTTTGTTTTAGACAACGGTCACAAAAATAAATCAATCTTTATTGACCAAACCAATTATAAGTCACTGATTTTATTGCAACATTTCAGTGTTTAAAAAAAAATGTATCAACTTTGAAGCATTCCCCACCGCGTAGTATGTGAGAACTGGCACAAAACATTCTTCAATTCTACTGCACAGTAAATCCTCGAATAATCGTCGCTCTAGAATAATCGCTGCACCAAACGTGACTTTTTTTTTTTCCGCTAAGCGCCACGGCGCTATTCAAGATTATTTTAATCTTGAAAGCACCGCGGCGCTTAGTCGACATTCATATGTTATTTCCTTGTGTGTATGTGTGTGTGTCTGCAATGAAACACTTTGAGAAACAGGGTTTTTAATACAATAACTTTGTTCAAATGAATACATAAATGACCTTGTTATGATGATTTAGGGCCTATGACAGACAATGTCGTAGCCAACTATTAAGACAGTTGGGATTGTCCCACACATTTTTTTAATGGGTCCGTAAAAAGAATGGGTCTACATTTTTAATATTGGGTTCAAATTATGCAATTTTATGCATAAAATGAGTCCATTTTTTAAAAAAATGGGTCCAGATTTCTTACATTTAGCCTAATGGGTAAAATCTTAAGAAAATGGGCTCAGATTTTTTATATATTTACGTATAATGGGTTACCGGTAACTTTTAAGAAAATAGGTCGACATTATTTAAATTTACGTGTAAAGTGGGTCCAGCCTGATATTGTCCCGCACTGTTTGAAAATCTTGGCTACGGCATTGATGGCAGGCTTATACTAAACTACGGGAATACGTAAAATAGGTAACTTCAAGGGAATGGGCATGGAATGCGCCACGCAATATTTATTTTATAAGGGCCGCTCTCGAATAAACGCGTACTGAAGCCTCCGAAAATTGTATAAATGCCTCGGCGATTATTAAAGGATTTCGGTATGTGTCCAGATTTTAATTTCTAGATCTTGAAACACACAATTTCAATGGTTCGTAGGTTACCCATTAAAACATATTTTTATGGTGTAGGCGTACATCTTGTACACGACATACTTATTGTTTTGGTTTGAAAGATTACATCTTTTGTATAATTTTCCTGGGCTCATCAGATGAGCCTTGCTACTGGGATCTGATAAAAGCACCTGCATTTTTAGTGATTTGTACAAGATACATGTTATTGTTGAATAATAATAATTACCTCCGGAAGTTCGTCAATCTCCAAATTTGAAACAGATCAAAACTGCTCTCAAATTAATATTATATTTTTTGTAATGCATAATATACAAACGTTGGTTCAAGTTGCTAAAACACTTAACTACATTAATGATTCATTTGGTTTCAGATACTAAAATAAATTTAGAAACCGAACCCGGAATCAATCAAATATGCGGTTTATTGCAATAGAAGAATAAAGCAAACATGTCGATAAATATCACCATTAGTATTATACGCCTACACATACATAATACGGTATTCTATGAGGCCTCAATTATAATGAACAGCGTCTTTCCATACGATTGTAGTATGATGTGTTTGTTAACCAATGTTTTGGATGTACACACCGAAAAGTAATGTCATATGTCTTCATAA